CAATGATGGCTTGCAAATTATTTTCCTAAAATTTATTTTAAACAGCAGATAAGATTTTTTTTTATAAAGAAAACAGGTTAATTCCATAATTTTAAACTGTTTTGAATTATTGTTTAATATTAAAAATATAGTCATTTACATTCTATAGTATTGAATGACTATCATAAAATTTAGTATCAAATCTCACACGATTTTATTGTTCTTTTAAAATTATTTAAGATTAAGGTTTAAGATTTGGTTTCAATAAACAATATTTAATAAAGAGAAAAAATATATCTCAAATTAAAAATTAAGGAAAAAAAATATAGATACATGGAAAATGATTTTTTCCTAATTAAACTCATAGTTATTAGTTTGAGATATGACTCTAATATCATTAAAACAAAGTTCATTGTTTAATAGAATTAAATCCCTAATAAGGTCATACAGATAATTAAATTTTATTTTCATAACTTTTTTTAATGAAATCAAGCCTAATTCTTGAAAAAATTACAAACAAAGACCCCTAATATGTAAAATTATAATTTGGGATCTTAAATTTGAAAAATAGTAGATAAGGATTGAGTCTCACTTTTGCAAATATAAAATGTTGGTGAAATGTTAAAAATACCCCTCAACTAAATAGTGATTTGATCTATTGAAATTGTTATTCGGTAAAGTAAACTTGTCATATCCCATAGTTAATTCGTCATTTGACATATCTTCAACCAAGTTATGATTTGGTCTACTAAAGTGAACTTGTTATTTCCTATAGTCAACTTGTCATTTGGCTGAGGGGCATTTCAAACATTTCACCATGATTTCATATTTGCAAAAGTGAGATCGGGTCTTTATTTGTATTTAAGGTCTCAAATCATAATTTTACATATTAAGGTTTTTATTTATAATTTTTTCTAATTCCTTTTGGATGCGTGAGACTACGATTGAATAAAGCTGAAAAGGTTGTAACCATTCTAACTTCTGTGGGTACCACGAATTTTGTTTTGTTTTGTTTTGTTCGTTGATATTTAAAAAGAACAGAAGTGAAACAAAAACCAAAACGCGTTATCATGGACCTTTTTGAATTTTTTCAAAAAACAAGGGTTAATTAATCCGTAAGTCCTTATAATTTTAACGAATTTTAAATCAGGTCCTTATAGTTTTTTTCTTTTTATCAGGTCCTTATACTTTTACTTTTTCTTAATTAGGTCCTTATATTTACTTTTCTTTTAATTAAGTCCTTATAATTTCACTAAATTTTAATCAGGTCCATGTAGTTTTAATTTTTATTTATTAATTAAATATAAGTTTATTTAATAGATTAATACTGAAATATAAAATATTAATTAAAATTAAATTAATTTATGTAATAAAAAAGTAATAGAATTAATTAATTCAGGAAATTTTTAGAACAATTTATTTTTTGCTGAAAAACTTAAAATCATTATAATAATTCAATATCTTTAGAATATTATTGTTTATAAACTAATATTAAATAATATATACTATTTTATGTATATAATAGTACTATTAGAATTTATAAAATAAAGAATAAAAAATTCGGGACTTAATTAAAAATAAGGTGAACTTATAAGGACTTGATAAAAAGAAAAATAAATACAAGGATCTAATTAAAACAGATGAAAGTATAAGGACCTGATAAAAGAAAAAAAACTATAAGGACCTGATTCAAAATTAGTTGAAATTATAAGGAGCTGTGGATTAATTATCCAAAAAAACAATATAGAAGTTAAAGTCATATAAAGTCCGGGGCTTTTTATGATTAGGGGAAATAACAACATATAATTGTCCGAATTTACATGTATGGCGATAATGTCGCATACTTGTAAGTGTGATTAGGTAAATAGTACTCTTCCGGTTTTTAATATAAGACATAATGTTAAGTTAGTTTTAGATCCCAAATATAAGACTTATTTTTATATTTATCAAATTTTTTAAATTACCCTTATAAATACTCCCTCAACCATAATTAAGTAAGTTGGGAGGAGGAAGGATATTTAAAAAAGATGATTATGGTGTTTTAGGAAAAAACATGTCATATTTCTTTAATTAACTAACTTATCTAACTTCTTTAATCTAATCAATTAATTCAATATGTCTTATATTAAGTATCGGAGTATTCCTTTCCAAAATTTGATGGTTGATTGTAGTTTAATAGTTTATAGATGATATCACCTTTTCTTTTTCGGTTAATTGGTATTTAGTGTTATAAGTACATTACGTTTGCTGTTGATCCCAAATGCGGCCAAACCCCGCTTCAATTTTTGTTTTTTTTGGAATGGCAATAATGTATTAACATTAACAAAACGTACAACAGCTTACAACGGCACAACAACCAAGCTACGTACTCTATAGAACTAAGGAGTTCACTAGCATTAGTTGTGTGATTGACAAGAGTACAAACAGGGATAATGATTTCCTCAGGGGTGGAGGATTCATTCATGAAAATACATTTGTTTCTATCATCCCATAATTTCCAGCAAAGAGTGCCAAAAAAGAGACGTTAGTGAGTATCCATGCATCTTGGGTTGAGAGGTTCCAAAGAAACCAGTCTTGGATGGGCTTTTGAAAAAATTCTTGAACACACGACTGTGGAATGGTTTCCTCCAGTAGGTTTTGGCAGTGGGGCAGCGTCGAAGGATTTTATCTAAGTTTTCTAGATCTGCATGGCAGAGTGCGCAAGTTCCTTCAGTGGCTATACCCCGTCTGATTCGTTCTTCATCGGTAAGGAGACGGTTTTTCAAGGCCAGGCATAAGAATGTTCTGATTCGTTGTAATCCTGGCCATTTTCAGTCCAAGACCAATTTGTGCTCTGTTCAGTTGTTTACCATTCTAGTCCCGTTAATAGTCTGTCTTAATGATGAAATTTTTGTAAGGGAATTTCTGTTTGAAAACTTAATTGGCTAAAATAACCTCAATTTGAGCATGTGTAAGTATGATATGTGAGTGTAATTTGTCTTTCACTATGTACAACATATCTTTTGGGATGTGTAAATGATTTCATATTGATAGTTATTGTATATTATTGTTGATGGGTTGTACACAACAGGAAAAAGAAATTACACTCAATGATTATAGTTGCACTTGTTCAAATTATGTCTTTTTAACTAATTAAGTTTTTAAATAGGGTTTCTAATCCGATTTCACTTTTTGTTAATTGTACTATTTAGTAACCTCGCATTATTTTTCTTTACAAGACATTTATACTTAAATGGCCGTCCCAAGAAATTCTTAAATTTTATTCCTTATATTTACATGTTTGGTTGTATTGTGAAAAGTTGATTATATTATCTCGTGTCTTTAATATAAAAAAACAGTTTGATATTAATTTGATCCTAAATATAATTTCATAATTTATTTTTGTCTCTCATATTTATTAATTTTTTACAGATAGCTTTTATAATAGTTGTACATATTAAAATTTCATCAAATGATGATTAGTTATAGCTAATACATATTACTAACAAGATATTTTTAGAAAGACAATACCTATTTATTATAATAATTAATTAACTAATTTTTTAACCTATTTAAATTAGTTAATATTTTTTAAGAATGAAATTAGTGTATATATATAGACACATATATACCTAAATGAGGTGATCAATTTAAAGGTAGAAATCAGAAAAATGACAAAAGGGCAACGGAAGGACAAACCCCACCACGTAGATAAGGGGGAAAAAAGAAGACAAGCTATCCAAATCATCCACCAAACAGCATCACGAGGATGACACTAAACCAGCTTCTTTTGGGGGAGAAAAAATGAACTAAAAAAAACAAAAAACAAAAGGGGGGGGGGAATATAACTGTAAAAATAGCTTTGTCTCAAAAATTACAAAAACTCAATTTTAGGTGAAAGCCAAACAGCCATTCAAATAAGTTGTCTATCCTTCCTTTATTTGGTTATTCCCAAGAGATATCCGGAAACTAGTTTTGGAGAGAGGAGCATTGAAGTCTTGATCTTTTAGATACTTCTCTGGTTTATTTATAAGGTATTTTCAGCATGTTTCACACAAACGAAGAAAAATCTTGAACTTCATTTATTCTCATTAAAATTTAATAAATTTCCAACTTTAACTCTATTTAATATACATTATACCTTATGTAAAACAAAATCAACACAATAACAAAATGAGGGTTAAAATTGTACATCTATATAAAAATTTCTTTCAGTGTCCTATAATAAGACCAAAAAATCTTATTTCTCTACCTTATAAATAGAACCAAAGAAGTATAATCTAAATGATTTTTGATAAGTACAGGTATTTTTTTTATTAGAGACAATCCCGTTCAAAATATTGTCGGACACTAAATGTGAGTATGAACTCAAACCTTGGTGATCAACTAGTGGTTTCTGCTAGAATTGTCCTCGTCCAGTTGTGTTGAATATTTGCCGCTGAAAGGGTATATGTTCATTTTTGTTGGGTTTTAATGTCCACTTATGATGAATTAATGGGCCCCAAACCCAATATAATTTTTCTAATATTAACAATTAAATGCTTTATATGGAGGCAAAACAAAAAAAAAAGATTAAATGCACTGTTGGGGAAAGGAAACAGATTGTCCATCACGAAAACTGTAAACTAATGGGTCCTAATTCCTATATCTAAAGGAGTGCGCGCGCACACATAAGGGAACATAGAATTTCTCTTCCGAAAAAGGTTTCCTCTCTTCAAATTTCTACTTTCTTCTTCTGTCTATACATTTGCTGTGTATGAATATTAATGATTTGCTACATGTGGGTTGAAATATATATCTTAATGGAGTCAAGTAAATCACCGTTTTGACAGTTTTTAATTCGGAGAAATTCATGAGCCTAAGTACATGAGCATTATATGAAGAAAATGATAAAATCCAGTGGATCTTATGAATACACAATTACCATATGTCAAAAGAGAAGAGAAAGAACATAAAATGTGGAATCAGCGTCTTCTATCTGTCAGCTCCTTAAAAAACTGAGAAACCCATGTGCAGCAACTACAGGTCCCAATAAAATTATTCAAGACAGAGTCCATTATATATGAGCAATGGTTTACAGAATGATTTAAAACAGAGGAGAAGAACAACAATTTGATTGATTACTTTTGATAAAATGAAACATCAATTTGTTTAGTTAATCCTCTATTTACATAGTAAAGAGAGAGAAGAACATCAACTTAATGAAACTGAGCATTACCTGATCAATCACAACAACGAATGCTCTGTATGCTGTATATATCACAAACATGTATAGATTCTGGGTACCAAAAAATTTCCCCCAGATCACCCTAGCCCTAACATAAAGCAACAAATCGGAATTCTTGCTTTCACTATATACACATAGATGGTTTCCTCAAGTCCAATGAATTAATAGAAATTAAGAAAGATGAATCCCTCCCAAAATCTGCTTACACAGCTCCACCAGATGGTACAAAAGAAAAGCCGACGAAGTAGCACACTCATGGCAAGCAAGGCAATCATCCCCAGGGCCAAGCTCGGCCTCGTGTTCATCAACTGCGTCTGCAGCACTCCCAGTGCCTCGCAAATCATGGAGTCATAGCTCGTGTAGTAACGCTTCTCCCAGTCCATCCAATCTTCCGGCGGCTCGTAGTTCTTCTCATCATCTTCATCTCATGGATTCTCTTCCTCAGAATGATCATGCTCTCGTCCACCATTCTCCCGCCAAAATTCTGATCCGCCGCTCTCTCCTCCACGCCAGGACGCTGGTTTTCCTCCGATACAGGCTCGGCCTCGAATTCGAATCAGGAACTGAGAGGAATGAGGGAGAATTTAGTCTATATCAATATTTTAACAATCAATATTAGTTTTTTAATGATTAGAGATAATATTACTATGATTTTAAATTTTTAAAGCAAATTTACACTCAACAAAACTTTTGGTGCTCAACATTCTTAATAAAAATTCATAGGATAAATCTGTATCTTAATCCATTTTTATAATGTTTTTTCTTTTTACAAAGTAACATGTTATTATTAGTATTATTTAAGTATGAGATTGCGTGTAAGTGTTTGAATTCCTTTCATTAAATAAAAATGACAAAACAATATTATCTCATGTTTTCTTGAAAGTATTTACTTTTATAAATTTTTATAAAAAATTAATATGAAATATAACCTTTTTTTGTAGATTTTTGCAACTACTATTATTTTTTAGGTCTTCTTCTCATTGAATAAAATGCACATAATTGAAAAAGTCTCCTTAATGAGGTGCTTAGGTTTATCAATATTTATCAAGGAGGGAGTCATGATTTGATTATTAAAAGGTCAAGAACTCAAGATTGAAAAGCATATATATATTTGGGACAGGAAAATATAAAACTTTTTCAGAGTAAAAACTTTCAAAATAAATTTACACATTTACCCATAAAAAATAAAGTAAAAACTAAAGTTTAATAAACAGGGGATCATAACTGATAACTCCTATCAATTCCCTTTGCCATTGATTATTAGTTCACTCCTCTCCTTGAATAAATGAGTAGAGCCGAATCCAAATCATATTTGGTTATCGTAAAAACTTGGAATATGAAATTTTAGTAAGCTATCATATAATAAATATAACAATATTTAAAATTTATATTATATTATTTGAATTTTTTTAATTTTATTTTGAAAGATTTCCTACGATGCCATTATTTTATTATTTAAATTTTAAAACTTATTATTGTTATCTCTTTAGTATTATCAATTCATGAAGCGTTTTAATCTGAAATTTTCAGGTAATTTGGATACTAAAATTTCATCATACCAAAAAACAAAAAGAATTTTATTGATATTTCTTTGCCTCATCTAAATAATACATTCATAATAAATATATTAAATTAAGATGACCCTAAACCCCAATAAAGAAGGATATATGAGAATATGTGTCTATTTTTTTATAAGTTAATTAAATATAAGTTTGAAAGAATGATGCATGACTATATAATAGTTATATTTACTACATTATCTCACGTTCTCAATTATATAACTCGCGCAAAAAGAAATTGAAATTATCCAAAATTAAAACGACGATGGTTGCAAATTATAGGTTCATGTGCGCAGGAGGAGAACATTACCCAGAACAGAGTGACGGTCTGGTGCGGGCAACTGTTGCCGACAAGGTAGGCCTTACCTGACAAAGGACGGCGCTAGACTAATAATGATATTAATCAGATCCTCTTCATCTTAACCGTACAAGCATTTAAATATACTGTTTATTTTGAATTACTCCGATCTTTAACATAAGACCCATTTAACTAATTTAATTAGATTAAAGAAGTTAGGTAAGTTAGTTAATTATAAAAAATATGACATGTTTTCCTAAAACATCATAATCATTTTCTTAATACCCCCTCTTCCTCTTTTACTTGATTATGGTTGATGAAGTATTTATAAGGATAATTTAGAGAAAACTGATAAATATGAAAATTGGTTTTATATTTAGGACCAAAATCAACTCAATAATGGGTCCTATATTAAGGATTTTGAGTGGTACTTTTTTATTTCTTTATTTAATAAAGGAATTTAACGGTTTTTTAGGTTGCTTTAAATCTATTCCAGTCAATAACCTATCTTCTGTTGGCCTAAAAACTGCGTTCTAAGTTAATTACAAATAATTTTGGCAAAAAAAAAGTTAATTACAAATAAGTTATTTTTATGAAGTATACAAGAGTGATCCATTGGAGCAATAAAAGCTAGCTCGATCATATCATAACATTTGGGATACGTTTAGTTTGTTTGACTTGATTCGACTTAACTAAGTAACATTAAGTCAACTATGTTCTCAATACTGAGAGATCTTTGTAGTCAAAAAAAATTACTGAAAATCTTCTTAAAATTTTTATTGTCGAAAGATATCTCCAATTTTTAGGCCTTTAAGGTGCAATTCATTTTAGTGATTTAATTTGAAAACATAAAATTTAAGGTTATTTCTTCAATTTGTTCTTCATTTACAAGTTCATAGCATTGCAATAACTCCCCCTGAAATCCCTTTGCACCTATTATATTCTAGTTTGGTAGTTTTCATCGTCTGTCCAATCATTTCGGATAATGCTAGATTGTATCTTTTATCTCACTGTAACTATTAGTATAGAATTAGCTGATACTTATTCCCTGTACACCATCTTTTTTTTTTTGGTTGCCCACCCAGTTCACCGGAGTTTTGTTCCGACTACATCTAGATCTGACCCGCGTCGCGTACCTGGCTGTGGTAGGTGAGTCTCTCAATAGGGATTTCTGCATACACTGAGGCTCGAACTCGAGACCTTGCTTAAGCAATACCAAGCCGCTTACCACTTAGACCAACCCCTGATCCTTGTACACTATCTTTCCTTCTTCTCTGAGAAAAGAAATTAACAACCCATGCATAGGCCTTCTACCTCTAGGCAACATTGCCCCTTCAGGCTTTTGCCTATTGCAAAAAAGTTCCCACTGCTCCCCCCTACAAGAGCCTTTGCAACTCTTCTCCAACTACATATAATTTATCTTAAATTATATTCAATATTATTCAAAACAAAAGTGATTTAGATCTAGTTATATAAAGATTAATTAAAGATATATTACATACAATTGAAAAAAAGTTACATTTGCTGAAAATAAATGAAATTTGCCCAAAAACCTGCAAATTTCAAGTAGCTTTGCGGATAAAATTTTTAATTGGAAAATTCTCAGCAATTTTCCCATAATTCTTCTGACTTGATTTTTTTTAAAGAAATAGTTGTCATTTTGAACATTTCCTTTCGGTATTCGCCAATTAAAAAAATATTTACATCCGTTTCATGTAAGAGGGCTTTTTTTTTTTTGGTTGGGGGGGGTGTGTTTACTTTTTATAGTAACATGCATATATACTATAAATATTATATAAAGAAAGAAAACACGTGCAATTGGAGCCGCCTTCCAAGTTTCTGAGAAATTAAGAAACGTCATCTACACGGACACCGCCGGAGAAAATTTCAACATTCAGTTAAACCAGCGAAGCTTCAGATTATAGTTAGGATATGGGGCGGCCACCTCCACACTCTTTTCCTTCATTTATCATCCCTCTTTCATGCCCCTACGCGTCAACCCAACACAGCACGTTATTCATTTAAACATTGGACTTTTTATGCCATGCAATGCATATAGAATCTACCAATATACCAATAAGAGTTGATCCAGTTGGTAAGGAGTCGGCTCATAAAGTATAAGGTGGTAAGTTTGAATTCCGATGCCGATATGAAGACTTTATTGGTGGGCGATATGTAAGTACCTCCATAAGCTTCTCTGAACTTAAAAGTCTGATGGGTTCTCGAGATCTAACTCACTTAGACTATATTGTTAAAAAAAAAAAGAATCTATGAATATCATCAGCCGAACTTACTGACTTATATATTGCTGCTGCCTATATATATGAAATCCTACACACACACACACACATTTATAGCACTGCTTCTTCTTCCATTGTTGAAAAAGATGGCACCATCTGCTTGTGCTTCTTCTCTTTGTTTGGGCCCAACAAGACTTTTTCCAAACAAGTTCTTCATCACTACTACCAGTAATTATGTGATGACTGCACCAAGAAGCTTCATTGCGTCTGCGTCAAACAGGGACTCTTACGGCCAACATTACGATGGGAAGCTGGTGGACGAAAGCATGATCGTTCTTCGCCTGCGAATTCAAGAGACACAGATGAAGATGAAGAAGAAGGAGAGTAGTGGAAGAGGTTGGAGGATTATGGAGTGGGAGACAAGGTACTGGGAACAGAATTATGGTTCTGATATATGTGAAGCTGTGGGGTTGTTGCAGACTGTCTTGATGGAAACAAGGCCTTGTTTGGCTCTTGCCATTCTGCTTTTGGTTCTTTTGAGCTGTTCGGTTTCAATGTCTCTCTCTGTGCTTCATTTGCTGGGGCTGACCAAGCACATCTTCATGTCCATTCATTTTTAATTATTCTATTCCGTCCTAAACATAAGACTCATTTTGTAATACAATTTAGTTTACACTGCAGAATGAGAAGAAGGTTCATTTTGAATAAAGTATTATTTGTCATTCACATAGCTAAGTCAGGTCTCAAACTTCACATCATGTTACACGGTTATAACTTCTAGAAAATATGCAAGAACCCCGCAACCGACCACGTCGCTCCAGCAATGCGGCGGCGGGGGCCTTTAAATTTATCCATTCTGCCTTCACCAATAAAAGAAGTGTATCGGTGAAAAACAATATGAAAGGAGAGGAGAAAATCTCAGAAGTGCTCTAGAAGAATTTTCTAAATTTGAAAAGTCGTTGAATAAATGAGACACACATTTAATGGAAAAGTGAAATATCTTAATTAATTTTGAATTTTTATCTGTAATAATTGCAACTATATTAATAATGGATGTGGATGCTTCATCTCTCTCCTATCCGTCGCTCACGCTCATTAAAATTATGTGATCGCCGACCAAAGCACCAAGTCTTTGTATTTTTTAAGAAAACCATAATTTTGACTTTTTAATTTTGCTTTTGAATGATACTCAAAATTAATCTTGCAAATCAATTTTATAAATACGTTACAACCAAATCTATTCTTGAAATCATAATTATAAAATCAATTTTATTTAAAATTTATTCTGCCTCTACCATTTTTATTTTCTTTTTGAGAGTTCTCCCCCTTAATTAATATTCTTTCCCTCCTAATGTTTTTCCCATCCAACTATAAATATAGGGTAAATCCAAATTCCGCGCTTTAATTTAGGGAAATAAATCACACATTACCAAATGCAATCACGTTCAATCGCAAAGAATTTGACATGAACGAAGTCAACGAACCCATTTGCAGTCGTAGGAACATACTGCGGATGGTTTATACCTACAAGGAATTCACGACCAAGCATTTGGCAGCAGATCTGATTCTCTTACATTTACTATCCAAATTTTATATCTTAATTTTATTTTATATCCACTCCTAATTATAATATCTCATTTGTAGTCTCATTTCCGGAGGTAGTATTTTAAAAATTATGCACATTTAAATGGAAGAGGGAGGGAGAATCGGAACCATGCAGATTTGTTCAAATTTGCCGTTGAAACTTGAAACCGCAGCACAGCAACAAAACGCTATGTTTTACACCTATGACAACTTGCTGCTATATTCAACACATCCTAAGTAGATCCACTATACATTCATCACATCGAATGTTGTCCCCAATGGCATTTCTAATCTGCGAAGGGTGTACCTAATCACATCATGATCAAGGCCCTGTTCTATAAGGAAACAAAGAGCTTATTGGCTTGTAAAGTCAGGACTGAGAAGGTCATCCTTTGCAAAGATCTCCCTCTTTACTTACTCAGCACCTGTACGAGATAAATCAATATATGATAGTTGAGTTGAAATCTGACAAGAACAGTACTAGTGCCCAGCAACCCAACTGACTACAAACCTTCTAAGATGAAAGGTCCAACAGGATCAGGTTGATTTGAATCAACCTGCTTCACTGGTTGATTTTCAAGTGGATGACCTTCTTGTTCAGGATTAAGCTCCTCAAGTTTTGAGTGTGATTTGTCGTGGTCGAGTGCAGATGGCTCAAGTTGCTGGTACTTAGGCTTGTTCTTCTCAAGGAGAAGGTAGGTGGTGCAGTACCAAAATAAGAGTATCTTGCTTTGTGCGACCACTGTATCCCTAATTTTGCTTCCTCCAAAGGATATGCGCTCCAGTGCCTGCGAGTAAGAGAGCGCGGATCAGGAAAGCAAGACAACAAACTAACAATCTCTATTAGAAGTGTTTTTAGACTATGCGAAAACTAGATAAACTAAGATGATTGATACAGATAAAAATATGGACACATGACTACAACAGCACAAGATATAGAGTTTAAATTCAAATTATAGTGTCGTAATCATAACGTATCAAACATGATACAGCTTTCCAAGCAATGGTACTTCATGGCAAATAACTGATTCTGTTGGATAGAATCAGTGTTGTTGATAGCTTACAATAAGCAAGATATAATTTGGGGCGGACTATTTGCAGAAACCATCCACTTTTAAGCAGTTGTATTGAATTAGCCCTTAGTTGGAAATTTTTCTTCGAAAAAAAAAAAAAAGGCTCCTTCCTCACCTGTTCTCCCGTTTGAATATCAAATGGATTATGATGTTCAAATTGAAGACCACTAAATTCATTGATGCAGAGTCCCTGAAAAGCCCTGAAAGAATACACGAACCAATTTCATCAGTGCCTAAGTAAAGGAAACCATATTCATCTTGGAGTATTCTTTAGCGCGAGAGAGCTTCCTTGTACAGGTTACATTATTGGAAAACTTTTAATTACTAAAAATTAGGATTCTGCATACCATCGAATGAGCGAAATGCGAGGAATCCAGCGGAAGATGATTGGAGTATTTTCAGGATTGACATAATAGCCTCCAAATACAATAAAAACAGTCATAAGCGAGGGGCCAACTGCCATGGCTGCTTCAGTGGTTGGAACCATTGCTCCAACAGTAAGACCCATCGCAGATGCAGCAAAAGATTCCACAGTGACTATGCCACAGAATTTCCCAAATCTGGAATGTCAAGCCTAGTCAGTAATACTTGAGATAATTTTTTTGAAAACACTTTGCACAAATCATCCCATCCAAAGGGTAAACAGAGGCAGGGACCAAGGGAGAAGGCATGTTTTTGTGGGTGTCAGGATATATTCGTCTATGCTTTTCAAGAGATAAGAGAAGCATATTATTAACATTTAAATCATTTGCATTTATAACAAATCAATAAACAATGCGACTCATTTCAAACTCTATGCTACAAACAAGACCTATATCTAGTAATCTTAGCAAAGTCATTTATCCCCTCTAAAATTCATTACAGCCCCTATAAAGGAAACATGTTATTTTGACAATCCTGTCCAGAGACCACTACAGAATTTTGCCATACATAGTGCTCTGTTTTCTCATGATATCAGAGGCAAAGAAATTTGCAATCTACAGTCAAAAAATTCAAAGAAAAAAGTGACATTGCAATTGTTGATCATAATGATTGACTTGGGTAACTGACCTCAGTAATGTAGGATGGAGACGCGCCATAGGGTACAAAACAGAACCAAACATCAGTGGAAAAGCTGCTCCAATAGGAATCTCAGCGAGCAATTTTGAAAACAGATAAGGACCCAATGAATAGGAGCCTTTTGCACGTTCTCTATCTACAATTGTCCGCTCCTTTGGAAACACCCCAACAGTCTTTGTAAGAGCAGCCATAGCTGTGTTTATTGCAGCAACCTGTGAATGCCAATCATGTGAGGAGCACGAAAAGGCAAAC